ATTCTATTCTATTCTATTCTATTCTATTCTATTCTATTCTATTCTATCTCTAGGCATCCAGCCCCCAGGCTGCAAGGATAACTTCCCATTTTATCTTGTAGTTTTTTTTTTTTTTTCATGTGACAAAATGATGAAAAACTAATTAAGAAGGTATATAACTTCTTACTGAATTTGAAAATGGAAAATGAACAAATAAAAGACACAATGGTACAATGGAAATTTTTTAGCTATAATATAGAACTAGAGAAATGGCAAAACTTATGGGAAAGGAATGATAGATTAACAATGTTGATTTCTTATAAAGAAAACCTATATAAAATATTTCATAGGTGGCATCTACCACCTGCTAGATTAGCTAAAATGTTTAAAAATATGTCCAGCAAATGTTGGAAATGTAATAAAAAATAGGCATGTTTCATCATATGTGGTGGATGTGTGTCAAAGCAAAATAATTTTGGACAAAGATAAATGTGATTAGAAAAGATGATTGGGAAATGTATAGATTATAAACCTGAATTGTTTTTATTAGGTATAATATCAGAAAAACTTGAAAAGTATGTATTTAATGGCTTAATAGCAGCGAGGATTATTTTTGCACAATACTGGAAAAATGAAGATATACCGCGAGATGAAGAAATAGTTAAGAAGATACTAGATTGGGCAGAAATGGATAGATTGACACTGAAAATTAAGCAGAAAGAAGACGTAGAATATTATCAAACGGAATTTATTTTACCAGTGGTGGAAAAAATGGTGGAGATTGTAATTTGTATTGTTAAGCAAATTGAATACCCAGACAACATGATGTTTATAAAGCACTAAGAAATATATTTAATAGAAAATCAATTTTTAAAAAAACCTTATAGTTTCTATGTCCTCCTTTCCATGCCCCCCCTCATATCTCCTCTCTCCTTAGATTACTCCTGTGCATTGCAGCGTGACATCCTCCTTCAAGGACGGCTTTATCTATCGGAGAATTGGATCTGTTTCTACAGCAACATCTTTCGATGGGAGACCACGGTAAATGCTCCATCCAGGACTCTTGATTGCTTTTAGCACTGACCTCCTGGCCACTGACCTCTGTGTCATCTTCCATGATAGATCTCCATCCAGCTCAAGGAGGTGATATGCATCAAGAAGGAAAAAACCGCTAAGCTGATTCCCAATGCAATTCAGATTTGCACAGAGAATGACAAGGTGAGATCGTTGCGTATCCCCTAAAAATCCAACCCTAGGGATAGTTAATTATCCTTTCCAAGATGCTGCATTTTATAATTTGACATCAAAGGGCCCCAGTCTTTGTGTTGCAAAACTGGGCTTTATTTGTAATCTGTTCTTACTGTTTACGACAAATGGTTGCAGAAACTGGGAATGGCTACGCTAGTGAAAAGGACAGGGGAGACTTGATAGCAGTCTTCCAATCTTTGAGGGGCTGCCACAGAGAGGAAGGGGTCAAGCTGTTTTCCAAAACACCCGAAGGCCAGACAAGGAATAATGGATGGAAGCTGAACAAGGAGAGATTCAACTTGGAAATAAGGAGACATTTTCTGACAGTGAGAACAATCAACCCATGCTTGCCTTCAGAAGTTGTGGGAGCTTCATCAATGGAAGCTTTCAAGAAGAGACTGGACTGCCATCTGTAAGAAATGGTGTAGGGTCTCCTGCTCGGGCGGAGAGGGGTTGAACTAGATGACCTACAAGGTCCCTTCCAACTCTTTTAATCTGATTTGGTTTGGACGTTATCTATAGGCATCTCTACCACTGAAGCAATTGGAAGCTGCTGCACAAATCTGCTTGCCTTTTTTGTGGAAAAAAAACCCTTGCCAAAGTGGAATAAAAATAAATTAAAATAGTAATATGCAGAATAAAATTAAAATAAACTTTAAAAGTGAAATAAAAAAGAGTAGAATAGAATAAAAGCAGAAAATAACTTAGACATGAAAGGCTTATAGTTGGATTGAATGACTGGAGTTACCTATGTGTGAATTGGCAGTCATATAAATGTCTCCAATAAATAAAAATAAATGAGTAGTGATTCCCCCCTCCTCCTTATTGTTTGAGCTGGGGACCTTATTTAGCTTTTCTTTTTCCCCTCAGGGAGGAAATGATGTTAAACAGGTGAGGATACTTCATACATGAGAACAGACAGGGGCAAGATTTTCCACGGTGGGGTTCAATTTCATTTAAACCTGTATTACTTCTGTTCTCGCATTAGTTTAATTATGTGTATGTTTCCTGACTCATACTGCGAGAATTTGCTTCCTGTATTGTGATCAGAGGTGGCTCAGGAGGACTGTGAATCTCAGAACTGGATGGCTGCAAGATGCCCCAGCTAATTTTACAAGATGGCTTCTCCCTGGGGTGTTGGTAGAAATCTGCAATTACGGATTTGGCTGAAATTTGCAATATCCAGGATTTAATCTGGATCTTCAGTTGGGCATTGAGTTGTGAAGATTTCCCGTCCTTGTTCTAGACCAGGGTTTCTCAACCTTGGCAATTTGAAGATGCAGGGACTTCATCTCCCAGAATTCCCCAGAATGGCCATTCTGAAGCTGCACATGAATGCTCAGTGCCACTGGGAAAAAATATGGTGTCTGTGGCCTGACCAAAGAATAATCGGCCTTTCTCTGTCCCAGCTTCCTTTTCTCTTTTCCCCACTTTTCAAAGTGCAGGGGGCACATAATGGACCTTCTGCACAGTGTAAATATTTGAATAGATTTTCCCACCCATCTAGGTTATCTTTCTTCTAGGAAGTGTGGCAATCCTGGGCAAGAGGAGAGGCTAACTCACTGATAACTCACTGTTGTTGACTTGTTCCTCTTCTTCTCTCCCCCTTTCTCTGTATATAGATATTCTCAGTCATCCAGGTCATGGTTGTCCCAAAGATGCTTTTTCAAAAGGCAGCTGGACTTTTCTTTTTCCTTGAAGAAGGTATTTCGCTTCTCATCCAAGAAGCTTCTTCAGAACTGAAGAAACGAAACTCCTTCTTCAAGGAAAAACAAAAAACAAAGAGAACTCCAGTTGCCTTTTGAAGAAGCACCTTTGGTTTCTTCCCGTCCTAGATTTCCTAAGATCTTCTTCTGGCATCTTTGCTGAGCCAGGGCGAGGCCTTTATCTCAGAGGCATCTCGTCCTGACTTATGGCCCTAACCAACAAGGCAACATCCTTGAAAAGAGAAAGCACATCAGGTACAAAGAACTTCAAAGAAAGACGGGTGTGTCTGTAGAAAATCATTTTCATGTGAAGCCATCCTTCCTTTGAACGGTTTAATGACCTGTGGCCGCGCACTTCAGAGAAAACAATGCACAGTCTTCACAAGCGCCCTGCAAGTTATGCACATCCAGGAAGTCTTGAGATTACAATCTTCCACCAACAATTGTGGTTTAGACAGCCAGGGGGAGGGCTTGTAATTTTTTAAGATTGCTCAGGTCCCTCTGATGTTTTCTTCTGATGTTGAGGTTTGCAGTTTGAAACAGCAGTGCCCATTTCACAGAAACCTATCATTATTTCTGCCTGAGATCAGTGTACTCTTTCGGTATGTTATTCATGCAAGCATGCATTGCGCAATCTGAGGCAGGAAGCAATTTTCTGTGAATCGAGAATATGGTGATCCCGTAGAACAGGATGTCTCAACCTGGGCATCTTCTAAGACATGTGGACTTCAAATGACAGAATTCCCCATTTCATAAAGTTGACAAGGCTGAGGAACACTGCTGAACAATTATTTCCCAGCAACCATGTGGCAATAAGATGACTTCTGCCGAGGGATGCTGGGAGTTGTAGTTCTGTTATGTCTGGAAGAGCAGGGTTGGTCTACATAGTTAAAAGGTTATCTTCCCATTGTTGACATCCACCCACCTGTGTGAACAGCAGGAGCAAGAATATAGATTATCTCCCGGAGATCTTTTGTGAAGAGGAAATGTTGTTGCAGCTCTGTAATCAAATGTGCATGTTCACATGAATAAATTCCAGTTCCTTTGTCACTCTGTCTACCTACCTATTTACCTACCTATTAATGTTCTTTGTGGTTCCCAGCATTTCTTCACATCCTTTGGTGCCCGTGACCGATGCTTCATGCTAATCTTTCGCCTTTGGCAGAACGCACTTCTGGATAAGGTAGGAACAAACTAGGGGAGAACCTACCTAGGATTTTTTTTTTTGAGAGTGGTAGATTATATTTGATCTATGGAGATTCTCAGTCATCCAGGTCACAGTTGTTCCAAATGTACTTTTTCAAGAGATAACTGGACTTTCTTTTTTTTATTTTTTATTTTCTTGAAGACGTTTCACTTCTCATCCAAGAAGCTTCTTCAGTTCTGACTGGATGGTGACCACTCAGAACTGAAGAAGCTTCTTGGATGAGAAGCAAAATGTCTTCAAGGAAAACCAAAGAGAGTCAGTCCCCTTGCCTCTTGAAAAAGCACCTTTGGGACACGTTTCAAGGTTTTTCACTGGGACTCCTATACAGTATACTGATTTGTTTACCTTTGATCAGGGGTGGGATTCTACCGGTTCTGCCTGGCTCTGTAGAACTGGTAGCTCTGAAGAGCAAAAGACATAGAACTGGTTCTATGTCTGCTGATGTTTTGGCCCACCCGCCCGTCTGGGCTCTTACCCGACCTTTATTTCCTGCAAGGCACAGCTGCGGTTGAAAAAGCAGGAAAAAAGTGCTTTTTCAAATGCTGCTTCTCTGCACGCAGTGCTGCTCAGCTGTCCAGGCAGCAAGCTGATGACGATTTACAGGCCCAGTCGCAGCTTGCAGGGAAGCACATCATAAATCACCGAACCTCGTAAATCACCTAACCAGTAGTTAACCCTGTCGGATCCACCGCTGCCTTTGATGCACCCATAGAAACAGGTACACCCACAAATGAGATTCAAACATGATGCTTAGCCAAGGAGGGGTAAACTTTCTCACCCCTTAGATATGGTCAAAATGCGATTTCCGGCTTTCCTAGAAGGTGTGGCCAATGGTGAAGGATGCCAGGAGTTGTAACTTGGGGTTCCACAGGTCACCTGTTCCAAACCATCATTTTCTTTCTTGGTTCTGGCTCAATGCCAACCAGATCGGGAAACTTACACCATAGGAAGACTGGAATTAAACTTTTTTGAGATAGGCTATAGCCGTGATGGTGAACCTATGGCACGCATGCCACAAATGGCATGCAGAGCCGTTTGTGCTGGCGCGTGAACCGCAGGCAAACTTACCTCACTGCAACATGCGCACGCCTCACAGCTGATTTTTCTGCTTGTTTCAGGCCTTTTTGGCCTCCCAGAGGCTTGGGAAAAGCCTCTGCAAGGCTTTTCAGGTCGAATAGGCCCGTTTCGTCACTACTTGTAATACTGGAAGTGACGAAACGGGCATATTATTCGGCCTAAAAAGCCTTGCTTTTTCCAAGCCTCTGGGAGGCTGAAAAAGGTCTCAAACCAGCTGAAAAATTAGCTGTGAGGTGCAGTGCAGGTAAGGGGGTGGCGGGGGGGGGTAGGATTGAGCGGGCATGCGCAGGGGGTGTAGGGGTGTGTGCATTGCGTTCTGGGTGCTGGCCTGCAAGTACATATGCGCTAATGTGTGCACCATTTTTGGCACAGGAGCCCAAAACGGTTAGCCACCACTGGGCTATAGTAACCGAAACCAGTTTTTAAAAGCATTTTCCTTTCACTCCTACCCTGCGGAATTAAGGAAGACCAGTGTCTTTCCAATACAGGTAGTCCTCAACTTACCTCTGTTCGTTTAGTGACCATTCAAAGTTACAACGAGACTGAAAGAAAGTGACCGATGGCCGCTTTTCATGCTTATGACAGTTGCAGCATCCCCATGGTCAAAATTCAGGCGCTTGGCCACTGGCTCATAGTTACGATGGTTGCATTGTCCTGGGGTCATGTGATCCCCCTTTGTGACCTTCTGACGGGCAAAGTCAATGGGAAAGCCAAGTTCACTTAACAACCATGTTATTCGTTTAACAACCGCAGTGATTCAGCTGTGGCGAGAAAGGTGGTAATATGGGGCAGAATTCACTTAACAAGTGTTTGACTTAGCAACAGAAATGTTGGGCTCAATTGCGGTCATAAATCGAGGACCACCCATACTTTCCCACCTTCCAAGATTGAATACATACTTCCGCTTCTGCACTTCCTGTTGCCCTAATAGCTTCTAGGTTCCTTCTCCAAAGTCATCTCCATGACTCCCTGCACTTAATTCGTTGCACGAATGCAGCCATTATGGTCTCAAAAAAACCATAGTTTGTGCCATTGAACCCAATCGATTACAGCTTGCTCAGCAATCCAAAGTTGGAAACAAATGTTGACTTATTGTCATGAGCTCTTCAATAGCTGTGCTATGTATCTGCTTCTTCGTTTCCTCTCTTAATCCCGTGTTCTTCCATTGCCATCAGACTTTGCCCCCACGAGAACTCTGGCACATTGTCCATCAATGCTACGGTTCTGAACTTGGCTTGACCAGTGAAGATGATGACTATGTTTCTCCCATTGATGACCTCAATGGCTTGGGGTGAGTATCTACTGTGGACAAGACAGTTTTCTTCTGGATCAGGGAATGTAGCCTGCAGCCATACCTCTTAGCTGTCTCTTTGCCATCTGCAGGAGATAATGAGCAGCCTTTCTCAAGGTTGTGTTCTGACCAAGGCTTCCTGAGACAGTAACAATCACACACTGTTCTGAAAAGCCATCTCTGTGTGGGACGCAGACCCCTCATCCGAGCCCTCCCCAGACTCTAGGACCGGCCCATGTTCCTCCCCACTGTCTGACTGCTGCCAGCTCCACAGGCTGCCTGGCGGACCACAACAAGTTGATCTTTCCATAAATTAGTCTTGTTGGTCTAGAAGATTCCTTTAAAATCTCCCTCTCTTTTATCTGTCTTTCCCTGAATCACAACAGAAGCCAGAAAGAAATTGGAGATGATATTGACCTGACAGAGCTGACCTCCCGCTGCAGCACTGACCTCAAGCTGGACACCAGTCCCTTGCTGGACAAAAGGGACACCAGCCATTGCATCAACTCACTGGCCAGTAGCAGCGATGGAACCACATCGGTGAGGACGGGGGATTCAGAAGACAGCTGGAATGTTATAAAGGTCCTTTCCTAGATTTTGTGTCCCCCCATTAGAACTACTTGCCCTACAATAATGCATGATGAGCGGATTGCAAACTTTTCCATTCTCCTCTTGAACATTACCTGCTCTGCATAATTTCCCCTCCCGAGAAATCTCATTTGTTTTGTGCATTTTAATGCATTTATTTTACCACCTACAGTTATTTGTAGGTGGAAAGAGGAAAAACAAAATCACGCCACCAAATTTCAGCAGTGTAATCTTGGAGAGTTTTTGGAAGGTTGCATGATGTTTATAGGTTACCTGTCTTCAAAATCCTGCTCTCTGGGGGTTAAAATAAAGGATCTAAAAGACAACATTCACGGGAAAAATGTATGTACCAGAATTGGATCACTGAAGAAAGAATCAAATAAACTAAAATAAGTTCAGAGATGAGGATTGGAGAGAAGGATAGACACAGAGTCATTTGAGGAAGAAGAAACTGTTTAAGATCGTTTAGTAGAGGGGTTGTTGGACTCTCTGAGCTTGGTTGCTTTCTTGTAGATGTTTTATTAGCCAAACTATTATGATGTTAGTGTGTAACATCATCAGTGGTAGGTTTTTTGTTTGTTTGGGAATGTTGTAAGCTTGAGAATAGAAGACTGAGAATAGGATAACACTCTTTAAATATCTGGAAGTCTGCCACATAGGTCTTACTCTCCATAGTTCCCAAGAACAGGACATGAAATATGAAGGCTCTGAGTTACAGCAAGCCAGATTCCAACTGAATGTTAATATATATATATATATAGAGAGAGAGAACAGTTAGCTGGAAATAAACTTCCTTTCCTTGGATGTAATTCAAAAGGCAGCTAGACTGATTTATCAGGGATGTTGTAACATGGATTTCCACTGTGGTGCCAATGCCCAGCAGCCACTTCCAACCAGAAGAACCTATGGAACATCTTAAACAGAGCCCAAATTAACCTCCACCAAGCTTGTGAAGGGCTTTGTCTCAATCTTTGAAATACAGGAAGGTGTCGTAAATTCTGACTATTGATCAATATTCCCCAGAGATATGATGTATCTCTGAAGAAAAGTCTGTCTTTTCTAGTTCCACCTCGAAGTGCTAGAAATTAATTCTGGAACATTTAGTGTTAGTTAACAGTCTAACTAACAGTCTTCAGTGCAGTCAAATGAATGCTTTTGAACTATTAAGAGACCCAGGTGAAAATACTACAATTGTCTCAATGCGCCATACTATTTTTTATACCTTTGCTTTATGAGTATACTAGCTCGATACCCGTGGTTTGCTACGAAACTATGTGGTCGGGCTTAGTTTTTGGGAAGGAAAATAAGGAAAATAAAATTCTGCCTCTGCCTACCAGAAGCCATTAGTATTCATCTGGCTAGCGCCCTGTCAGTGTGTGAGAGAATTGAGGGCTGTTTGGAAACTGATGTAGTATTTGCTGTGTGAGCAAGAAGGAGACAGCAAGGAGCCTGGGCGTGGCTTAGCTCAACTATTCTGTACTAAAGCTGCTTGCTGCTGTGAAACTGAAACTCCTCTCCTCTGCTTGTGTTTTGCATTTGAAACAGATTTCTTTTCAGGTGGGGAAGGGGAATAGAACTTTTTAGCATCAGAACATGTTAATAATAATATATGAAATACTAATGCTCTGATGGTCATTTGGAAAAATCCTTTCTTAGTGAGCACCTAGAAGCTAAGAGAAACATATGTGCCAAATTTCTTAGGCTTTATGGTTCTGGAGATTTTGTGATGATGCGTGAGTGGTATTTTGCTTTCATATATATATAGATAGATATGCGCCATACACCTGTCAATAACTTGAATGTTGCAAACAACAGCATAAAACTATTTTAAAATAATATGAAAGACTGAACCTTGTAAAGCCATCCAACTGTCAACTTTAAGTAAAGACAACACAAAGGACATGAAGGAAAATGGGAAGCTCTCCCATTGATTAAATAATTTTTGAGTGGAAAGTAATTATGTTTGATTTGATGCCTCCTAATAAAAGCCTTTTTTCTCCGGCTGCCCAAACAGTTGAAATTTTCAGTTCAGCGTTGACTACCAAGAATATTTTTAGATATGTAGTCTAATAATACTCGCTTTTTTAAGCAGCTAAAGAAAATAATAGAAAAACCCAACACACTCTGTGGTTGTTTCTCACAGATTTGGGAAATGTCCAAGGATATTTCAGAATCCTTAAAAATGAAGCCAATCTATTGAAATACATCTAGCTAAAATGGTGTTATGATTCTAATTCAACTGCAACCTACAAAAGAGAGAGATTTTAGCTCTGGAAATTATTTATAGCCCAGTACATGTCTACTTAGAAATGAGTCCCACTGAATATTGTAAAAGGACTTTTTTGGTGTCACTGTAATTTCAAACAGTCATTAAACAAATGGTTGCAAGTCAGGGACTACCTGTATTACCTTCTGCTGCATGCTCGGTGACAAGAACATATCAAATAGCAATAGCAATAGCCCTTAGACTTATATATCACTTCACAGTGCTTTACAGCCCTCTCTAAGCAGTTTACAGAGTCAGCCTCTTGCTCACAACAATAATCTGTGTCCTCATATTTACCCACCTCGGAAGGAGGGAAGGTTGAGTTAATCTTGAGCCAGTGAGACTCGAACTGCTGAACTGCTGGCAGCTGGCAGTCAGCAGAAGTAGCCTGCAGTACTACTGTCAACTCATAAAATATTTCTATGGTCTTTTTAGAGTTGCCAACAGAAAGGGAGGGGGGAAAGGGGTTTGAAAGAGCAGTGTGGCAGCTTGGAAATTGAAAGTGCATTCCATAAATAGTTTTTCAGAGATAGTAACTAGGTGACTGAAGTTTCTGCTGTGCAAATATCTAACTGGAGAGCATGATTGATGACTCTTGGCTATGGATGTGTCTCATTAGAAAATATGAATTATGTTACACCCAGGGGTGGGGAAAACCAGGATAAAGGGTGACAATGAATTATCTGTCACAGAGTTGGCTACACCCAGGCAGTGCCGGACATATTAATTCCCAATAAATCCTTTTGAAGTTTTGGAAGTTTTGGCTCAAGACTCATGATTTAATTGGGGTAACTGCCAGAATCCTGACAACTGCCTTCTTACCACTGGGTGCCATCAGGGCTCAAAATAGCAAATTTTTTGGCTGATACCTCATTGGCTGTCCCGATGCTGAATGTAGAATAGAATAGAATAGAATAGAACAGAATAGAATAGAATAGAATAGAATAGAATAGAATAGAATAGAATAGAATAGAATAGAATAGAATAGAATAGAATTCTTTATTGGCCAAGTGTGATTGGACATACAAGGAATTTGTCTTGGTGCAAATGCTCTCATTGTACATAAAAGAAACGGTACATTCATCAAGAGTCAAGAATCATAAGGTACAACACTTAATGATAGTCACAGGGTACAATAAGCAATCAAATCATACTAGGAAATAGTCAATATAAATCGTAAGGATACAAGCAACAACGTTACAGTCATAGAGTCACAAGTGGGAGGGGTTGGGTGTTAAGGAGTGATGAGAAGATTAGTAGTAATAGTAGTGCAGACTTTGTAAATAGTTGAACAGTGTTGAGGAAATTACTTGTTTAGCAGAATGATGGCATTTGGGAAAAAACTGTCCTTGTGTTCTGGTATGCAATGCTCTATAGCGTTGTTTTGAGGGTAGGAGTTGAAACAGTTTATGTCCGGGATGTGAGGGGTCTGTAAATATTTTCACAGCTGTCTTTTTAACTCATGCAGTATACAGGTCCTCAATGGAAGGCAGGTTGGTAGTAATAGGTTTTTCTGCAGTCCTAATTACTCTCTGACGTCTGTGTCTGTCCTGTTGTGTTGCAGAACCAAACCAGACAGTTCTAGAGGTGCCGATGACAGACTCAATCATTCCTCTGTAGAACTGGATCAGCAGCTCCTTGGGCAGTTTGAGCTTTCTGAGTTGGCACAGGAAGAACATTCTTTCATAACCAAATGTGTATTTCAAATGGAGCCAAAGCTCACCTGGGTTGAATCTAATGCCGACATGCTTCCCTTGTAGCTGGCTGAGGATGCAGAGGACAACACTGACAGCCAAATGGATGCTTCATCCAGCCACACAGTGACCTCAGCCACAGACCCCCTTCTGGATGACTTGGTGCATGGGTCTGCTGGGTCCCCCCTGGAGGGGGACCCCAGTGAAGAGCTCCCCACCGACATGAGCAATTCCTCCTCATCCACGCAAGATGAAGGTGAGGGCAACCTCCATCCTGGCTGAATTCTCCTATCAGCATTCCAAGTAACAACCTCCAAATTAAAAGACCCCAAGATTGTCATCTCCTCAAAAGATCCATTTTATTAGAGATGTCATGTTGGCACATCTGAGGAAAACCCGAATCTGAGATTTCCAGGTTTTTCTTAGCCCAAAAGAGAATCCAAAATCCCTTCACCCAATAGTTCATCACATGGTCCAATTGTTTCTTCGTTCCAACTGGAGTTTATCCCCAGTCATCCACTCCAGGTGCAGGGTAACATGTCCTTGACTTTCTGAGAAAGGAATGTTGTTGTGGCTAATTTTTTACCGCTCCTTGAAGTCCCCCTCCCAAATTCCCAGGCACTGAATGTGGCAGCCCAGAAGCCTCAAAGAAAAATGGCTTCCAGGCTGACATCTCCCGGTTTTTAGATTAGGAGATCTAATCCGACCATCTCTCGTTCTTCCTTCTCCAGCTGAGGTGGAAGCCTTCTTCACAGACTTACCAGGGCGGCTCCTGATCAATGCCGTGTATCACGTTGGAGCTGAGAGGCTGCAGCAAATGCTCTTCAGCGACTCCCAGTTCATGCACAGCTTTTTCGACCAACGCAAATTCACAGGTAAGGAGAAACTGGTTCAAATCACATCCTTGGTCAATATTCGGGAGCGAACTTCAGGCAAGAGTTTACATTGCAAAAATATTCGGGAGCGAACTTCAGGCAAGAATTTTTACATTGCAAAAACAAAGGATGCTGCTGTTTTCTGTCTTGTTTGATGGATTAACCTTAGACTTCCATAACCTGGTTTCCAGCTGGTGTATTGGATAAATATTTGGGAGGCTGTTGCATAAACTTCCCTGATTGCTAGAGACATGACCTTCCTCCTTGGCAGATTGTAGTAAAAAGCCTAATCCATAGTCTGTTGGAAAGAAAATCTCAAAGTTTTCAACTGAATGTCTCAAAGGCAACTGGACTTTCTTTGTTTTGATGGAAGACGTTTTGCTTCTCTTCTGAGAAGCTTTCTCAGTTCTGAACTGAACTGAAGAAGCTTCTTGGGTGAGAAGTGAAACGCCTTCAAGGAAAGAAAGTCCAGTTGCCCTTTGGGAAAAAAACCACCTTTGGGATAACCATGACCTGGATGACCGAGAATCTCCACAGATGCTCTTCATCTGAATGTCCATGGAGGAAAATTGATTTCAAACATTAATTTCAAAGCTGGTGAAACTCTTTTAGGCATAATTACATGCTTGATGTCAATTGTGTGGGTTGCAGTTAAACCTTGACTCGACGAACTAACGCCCCTTCCAAAGTGGGTGGACTCTGAACACAACATGTGTTTGCTGAACCCAGAGTTCACTAAATCAGTGGTCGCCAACTGGTGGGCCGCAAGAAAATTTTGATGGTCCACAGAGAAAATTCAATATTTATATACATGGTGTGTTGTGAGTTAATTTTGTGAGTTTGCTTGCTAGCAAAGTTTATGTGACAGACTGAGCTAGCCGATGGCAGAAAGATAGATCTCTGAATGAACCTGTGATTCTGTGAGCAACTCAATCTGCCTGCCTGCTTTGCCTGATTTTGGGTAAAAGTTGCTCTTTTTTAAATAAAAAATTCAATATTTACATGCATGGCGTGTTGTGAGTTTGCTTGCTAGCAAATTTTATGAGTTTGCTTGTAAGCAAATTTTATGTGACAGACTGAGCTAGCCAATGGCAGATAGATAGATCTCTGAATGAATCTGTGATTTTTTGAGCAACTCAATCTGCCTGGCTTTGCCTGATTTTGGGTAAAAGTTGCTCTTTTTTATAAAAAATTAAATATTTTCATAAATATTTATATTTACATATAAGCCATGCCCAGCCAGTCACATGGCCACCAAGCCACACCCACAAATAAGGCCACGCTCACAGAACAGGTTGTTAAGAAGTTTGAAACACATCTTTGTGTGTGTTTGTGTGGGTGAGTGGGTGCGCACGTGTGTGTTTTTGTGTGTGTGTGAGTGAGAGAGAGAGATATTAGATCTACCTCTTGATCTCTTTTTCTCCCACCAACGTCAGCAAGCCACCGTCAGTCAAAATTCATATTAGTGGTCTGTGGGATTTAAAATTATGAGTTTGGTGGTCCCTGAGGTCCAGAAGGTTGGCGACCCCTGCACTAAACGATCATCTGCTATTTCATCAAACTAAGACTTTACTGTTACTGTTTTTTTTTAAAAAAAAAAATCCTGATACGGTAATATTTTAATGACCACTCGGTTTTCCTCTTTTGTCCCCAACTTTTCTTCCCCCCCCCCCCCCTCCCTTTCCTAGATGTCACACTGAGTTCATGGAGCGGAGACAGCAAGTGTCATCAAAGCCGGATCATGACTTACACCATTCCCATCAGCAACCCATTGGGCCCCAAGGCTGCCCCTGTGGTGGAGAATCAGGTAGGGCCATGGGGTACCTAAAAATACGGGTAGTCCTCGAGTTACAACCACAAGTAGAGCCCGAAATTTCTGTGGCTAAGTGAGACATTTGTTAAGTGAGCCTTGCCCCATTTTACGACCTTTCTTGCCGCAGTTGTTAAGTGAATCACTGCAGTTGATCAGTGAATAACCCAGTTGTTAAGTGAACCTGGCTTTGCTCATCAGGAGGTTGCAAAAGGGGATCACTGCAACCGTCATAAATATGAACCCGTTATCTGAATTGTGATCATGTGACTGCAACAGTTGTAAGTGTGAAAAACGGTCATAAGTGTTGTGGTTCGTCGGCAGCCAGTGCAGACGGCAGTGGAGTTGGAGAGTGAGGAAGAAAGGGGACCAGGCAGGGAGTCTGGCGAGGACTTGGATGATGGTCCTGCATCCAATGCAGGGATGGGCCAGGACCACCTGGGAGTGGGGTGCTGCCTTTGCAGCCTTTGGAGTCTGGCAGCAGCGAGGCAGAGGACCCAGGGGAGCCTGTTCCCAGTGCGCGTGTGCTCAGAGCTACTAGAAGGCGAGAGCAACTGAGACAAAAGGGGCAACTCGGGAGTAAGGCTGGGAGGTGATTGCCCCTCCCATAAGGGATAAAAGTCAGACCTCAATGACGCATGCTTTGCAGGAAGCAAAGTAGTTCAATAGTGTCTGAGTCCTTCTGTAAGCTCCGTGAACTGTGGTTGTTTTTTTTTCTGGGACTTTGTTTGGTTTATGTTATAATTAATTGGTCTTCTGTTTTTTTTGGCAGCATTCTATAGCACTGAAAGGCATGCTCTTATCCGGGGGAACTATTTATAATTTCTTCTGGCTGGGAATGGAAGTAATTCCCAGCGTTGCAATAAAATAGGTTTTGTTTTTACAAGAAGTTTGTGTTTCATTAAGTTTGACGAAGCCTGAGTCAGAACAATAAGTCACTGAACAAACCATTGTAACTCGAGGGCTACCTGTATTAAGAGGGACGGACAAAGCAAGGTCATGGTGTGTTGATCTGTTGGCTGTCCCAGTACAGATAGTCCTCGCCTTCCAACAGTTCGTTTAGTGACCGTTTAAAGTTACACCGGCACTGAAAAAAGTTGCAACATCCTTGAGGTCTCGTGATCAGAATATATTTAATCACCTTGTCGCTATATTAACGGCTATGGCGATTCACTTAACAACTGGGCCAAAATTCACTTAACAAATGTTTCACTTAACCACAGAAATGTGGGGCTCCATTGTGGTTATAAGTCGAGTGGTGCGGTGGCCTAGAGGTGGAGATCTCTCCTCACAATCAGGAGGCTGTGAGTTCAATCCTAGGTAGAGGCAGATCTTTCTCTCTCTGGGCACACTGAGAATATGTCTGCTGAACAAAACTCCACATTGGTGACAGGAAGGGCATCCAGCCATTAAAACACTCAGCTCCATTCAGTTGCCCAGACTCCACTCTGCAAGGGATTATGGAGTCGTTAAAAAAAGGAGGATTACTGTGGTCATAAGTCGAGGACTTACTTGTAACTTTTAAGCCACTGTTTCCTTGAGACTGTTATCTGAACAAACGGATGAGCATGGGTAAAGCGTAGCATTTTCCAAGCACGGGTTCCAGAAACTGAATGTCTCTACTTATCCTGCCTTTCTCTTCCTCTTTGCCTGCTGGGTGCTTAGACTCTTTTCCGTGCCAGTTCCAAGAATGGAGGCTGTGTGGTGGACACAGAAGTGATCACTCATGGCATCCCTTACGAGGATTACTTCTATACTGTGCATCGGTACTGCATCACCAAAGTAGCCAAAAGCAAAGCCAGGCTCAGGTATTCATTCTTGGATCACTCTCTTCTCGGCTGCGTCTGTACGGTTGTCAAAAAAGGGGGTTTCCCCCAAATTTTTCAATGAATTCTGTTAGGAGAGTCTAAAACATAAGTGGAAATTCCTGAGGAAGAAATGGGGTGAGGGGCGTGGTTGTCCGTGGCAGCCACAATAAGCTTCATGTTCAACTAAATGTTGACATGTATCCGGGGGTGGGATTCAAAAATCCCAACAACCGGTTCTCTGCCCAGTTGCTGGTTGGGCGTGGCCATGGTGGGCGTGGCCTACTGGAACTTCCAAGAGGGCCATTTTTTTGCCTTCTCAGGAATCCGGGAGAGCGAAACTGCTTCCCCTGGGCTCCGGAGGCCGCCCGGAAGCCAGAAACAGGCCCACTTCTGGAACTTCCGGAAGGGCCAACTACCGGTTCAGCGAACCAGATGTAAATTTAACCTCCAGTTCGCCCGAACCGGCCAGAACCGGCTGAATCCCAGGCCTGCATATATCGCGTTATAGAGTGAAAGACACACCTGACAACAAATGAGCGAGTCGTGTCATGGCTTCATTACATAAAATACGGCTCATGGGCTCATTCCTCTTCGTTTAAGAGTTCATTCTTTCTTCCGTTCAATGAATCAATCAATTAATTTGCCTATCTCCAGAAGAGGCTCCTGGTTGCATTTGGGTTGCTTGCTTTTGTTTTAAATCTGATTAATATGTCAAAACCATCCCAGGCCAAAGAGGACCTCAGACTGCAAATCCCTTTTCTCTTGATGCATAGTTCAGTTGCTTTAAAAGGGGAGCAAAAACATTAGAGAGCCCTCTTGATGCCATGTAGTCTAAACTAAATCAGTAGAAGGACGCGGCACGAATCAGTCAAAGATGTACAATGGTTCAGATTCTCCAAAAAGTCTTGATTGGGTGCAATGCTCCATCCATCAATGCTACATGAAACGAAGGACTGTTGGGTGACATGATAACAGTGTCCCAGTATCTGAGGGGCTGCCACGAAGAAGACAGAGCCGTGGTGGCATAGTGGTTAGAATGCAGTACTGCAGGCTAACTCATTGCTCACCGCAAGAGTTCGATTCTGAGCGGCCGAAGGTTAACTCAGCCTTCCATCCTTCTGAGGTCAGTAAAATGAGGAGCCAGATTGTTGGGGGCAATAGGCTGACTCTGTAAACCACTTAGAGAGGGCTGTAAAGCACTACAAAGCTCTATATAAGTCTAAGTGCTGTTGCTATTCTCCAAGGGCAAGAAGCAATGGATGGAAACTAATTAAGAAGAAAACCAAGCTAGAATTAAAGAGAATTTTTCTGACAGTGAGCACAATAAACTAATGGAACAACTTGCCTCCAGAAGTTGTGGATGCTCCAACACTGGAGAATTTAAAGAAGAGATTGAGCAACTATTTATCTGATATGATATAAGCAGAGGTGGTATTCAGCAGGTTCTGACCACTTCTGGAGAACCGGTAGCGGAAATTTTGAGTTGTTCAGAGAACCGGCAAATATCACCTCTGACTGGCCCCACCCCCATCTCTTCTCTACCTCCCATTGAGTCCCAACTGATCGGCTGGGTCTCCTTTGGTTGCCCTGCCCAGGAGAATGGAGCTGGAAAGTAGGTTAGTGGTGTGGGAAGAGAATGGGGATTTTAATGTCTCCTTCGCCCGGAGTGGGGTGGGAATGGAGATTTTGCATTCTCTTTCCCCTGCCATGCCCACCAAGCCACGCCCACAGGACTGGACTACCGGATAAGGTTTCCTGCCTGAGCAGGGGCTGGACTAGAAGACTTCCAGGGTCCCTTCCGACACTATTATTCTGTTATTCAATCAGAACGGGGAAGAAGCAACACAAAACATATTAAGCCAGCCAGTTTGCAGTTTGCAGCAGAGTTCATATTGAGATAGAGGCTGCAATCTAAATGCATGACTTCAGGTCATCTTACCTGCAGCATTCAGCAACAAAGAACGACCGATATCCCCACCTTCCCGTTTTTGAAAACACAAAGGTTACTGAGGCTCTCCCCATCTCCTTGGGGGGAACACTTGATCTTGTAACTGCAGAAGATGAGATAGATACAGGGAAGATTAAATAACGCCAGAGATCCTTCGGGTTGCAAGCCAAACGGAGTAGTCCATTCTTTGCCAAAGGGGTTCGTTCTTCTTCAAGTTTCCCAGCATTCCCTGGGGGAAACGGGAAGGTTCTTTGGCCCACCCATAACAGTCGTTCTCCATTACAGAGTCTCCTCTGAAATCCGATATCGGAAGCAGCCATGGTCCCTTGTGAAGACTTTGATTGAGAAGAATGCGTGGAGTGGTGTTGAAGAATTCTTCCAGCACTTGGGTGAGTGAATCAAGGAGTGATTCAGTGCAGAACCTGTGCTCTGGAACAATTACAACACAGTCTGGGGTTGGGTTCCCTCTTATCTTCCCATTCGTGAAGTTTTATTTTATTTATTTATATATTTGTCAAAAATGTACAAGATAACAAGCATAATATGAACCAAAAAAGAACAAAGGGAGTAAATACAGGTAAACAGGGACAGTAAGACAGGACGGTAGGGCCCTTTGGTGTGCTTATGCACGTCCCCTTTAAGGACCTCTTAAGAAGGGTGAGGCCTACTGTAGACAGTTTGAGGTTGGAGCTGTGAGGACTTGGGGCTGTAACCACAGAGTCAGGTAGAGCATTCCAGGCATTGGCCACTCTGTTGCTGCAGTCATATTTTCTGCAACTGAGTTTGGAGCGATTTACCTTGAGTTTGTATTGGTTGTTTGCCCGTGTAGTATTGTGATTGAGGCTGAAGAAGTCATTGACCGGCAAGATGTTACAGCAGCCAATTTTATGAACTATGCTTAGATTGCACCGCAGGTGGCGCAGTTCCAGATTCTCCAGGCCCAAAATGTCGAGCCTTCTCGAAATTTCATCAACTTCTTCCAGTAGAGGTCATTAGAGAACAGGTAGTTCTGAAGTTGTCTGAGATATCCACCTGTAGCAGCCTTGTGCAGAATGAGACAAAAAGGGTAGACGTTTTGGAAAAGGAGAGAGGCTGATGGTATCAGGATCATCATTTTAGGGTACGAATTCAGCCTTGCAACCCCATCATCTCTATGGTCTTAAACGCTGTTTCAGAGCTGGCGCTGGTGCAAGCAGAAAAGGCTCTGCTAGAGGAGAGCTGCCATGGCAAAGAAACCCGGGGTCTCTTGTCCGGATTGCGTCGCAGGAAACGGACTCTGAGCTGGAGAGCTCCTCATGTTGAAGCCCCCATGCCCACGCTACCCGATAGCGAAGGGGCGTCGCGTGCTCTTCGTCCTTCAGGTATGCCTTCTTGTCGGGAACAGCCTACTTCCTTCCTCTTCGCGGATATATAAGAAATCGAGCTGTGGTGGCGCAGTGGTTAGAGTGCGGTACTGCAGGCTATTTCTGCTGACTGCCAGCTAATTGCAATTTGGCAGTTCGAATGTCACCAGGCTCAAGGTTGACTCAGCCTTCCATCCTTCCGAGGTGGGTAAAATGAGGGCCCAGATTGTTGGGGGTGATAGGCCGACTCTGGAAATCTTTTAGAGAGGGCTGTACCACACTATAAAGCAGTATATAAGTCTTAAGTGCTATTGCTAATCTATGATTCCCCAGACATTACTGCACTACTCCTTCTGCGGTTCAATAATGCCTGGAGCACCTCAAGTTCCGTTTGTTCTCTGTCCTGATCTGTTGGCTTTCTGTCCTTTAGGCAGCCTGACCTCACATCTTTCAGAACAACTGTTGGAGCCAGGACAGGGACAAACCGTCTCCACCGTGATCCTCGTCATCAGCCTGGTGTAAGGCAGCTGCTTTTTGGGGAGGTTGGGCTGTAACTGGAGATTGTCCCCCTTCCCAAAATTCTCAGTGGTGGTTGAACTGGTTGGGGAACTGAACGCCACGCGTCTAGAAGGCCTCAAGGTTCTCAAAAGGCTGATCTAGACCAACCTTTTCAGTCCTGGTGCTTTGTAGAGGTAGACTACAACTTCCAACGTCCCCAGCCAGGCCATAGCAGAACTGGGGACAAAAGTCCAACACACACCTGGAAGCACCGTCTCAGAGAAGGCTTTTCCAATGTTCTCTGTGAGTTTTCCATTTGCAAACGTAGAAGTATACTCTCCAGAGTCTACACAAGGTCGCACCTTACCCAGGGTTACAGCCAGTTACTCTCTAGGAAGCCAAGAAAGAGTCCAGTCCACTGAAGCCAGGAACAGGGCTGGATTGATCCAGGAATACCCACGATGCCATTGGAATGGGAGTTTAGTGGAGCCTGGAATTCCGCTTAATGGGTAGAGTGCAGTAGTGGGATCCTAGCTTAGTCACTACCAGTTCGATGGGCGATCAAGTGTGTGTGCGCGCACTCCCCCCCCCCAACGCGCATGCACCTAACAAGCCAATCAGCTGAGAGGATGAAGAAACGAAAAGCTAGGAGCGACCCTCCCATGTGCTTTTCAGTCTTTTATCCTCTTAGCTGGTTGTTGGGGGCTTTTTCCCCTCCTCTCAGCTGACTGGAGGGTTTTTTTTACTACCTGTTTGGGAACCATAGTCATTTTTACAACCGGGCCAAACCGGTAGCGTACCCCCACTGGTAGGGTGGCCTCAAAGGCAGCAAGGCTGGCTGAAAGTAACATGCATGACTATCAGAACAAGGCTCTCCTCTCTGCTCCCCAAACCGAGATGACCTTGTTGTCCCATTGCTTGGTGGGCTGTAGTAAAAGGAAAAAAAATGTCAGGGTCCCAGAACTGTCAAGATTGGTTGGAAAGCTTTGGGTACTTTTCGCTTTGCAATCTCATGTTTACTTTCCTTAGTTACTAACACCGTAAAAGGTGTGCTGGCTTGTGATTTAAGGTGTACCACTGCCTTCCTAAGATCCCTGCTCACCCTGCTTCTTTTCTCCAGGTGGATTGGTTTATTTATTATTTCAATTTATCTGTCTCCCCCCTCCAAAAAAAAATATTCAAATTCATGACTCTGAGCAGTTCCCAACAGTTAAAATGCCATAAAAAGTAATTGAATTAAAGGTTTCTAGGTTAACTAACTTAATTTCCTACTAAATTAGCAACCTTATTTGTTTGAAAAGTACAATCGAGTTTAGGAAAGTTTGGTGTGGCAGCATCTATGCTGGATAATTTTTTCCCTTGTCTTTCTTTTATTGATGAGAGAATGCAGGAACAAAGCTTCAATTCTTTCTTTCTTTCTTTCTTTCTTTCTTTCTTTCTTTCTTTCTTTCTTTCTTTCTTTCTTTCTTTCTTTCTTTCTTTCT